AGCAGAGACGAGTGTGAGGTTGCTATGTGAGGCATGTGCTCTTGTGGAGTTAATTAGGATAGTTTTTTTTCCTAGACAATATGTTCGGCTGTTGATATTATTATTATTTTTATTTTTTAACCCTGTAATTGCATTTCCACAACCGGAGACCGTAAAGAAAATGTGGCACGGTTTGTAAATTTTGGCGAAACAGGCATTAAAACTTTCTAAGCAGTAGAAAAAAGGGACACGGCTGTGACTGCAGCATAAACACCAGGGATGGCCGCTCACAGTGCAGGTCGATTACCTGGATCACGTTACGGCGTAGATGCTGCGGCCATTTTTGAAGGACTTGGGGCTTCAGTTGGCTCAGGCGCCGTCCTGTCAGCCAAGAGGCTTTAAATCAACTCAGTATTTTTGCAAACCTGCTGACAACGCAACCAACGGGTGAAAACACATACCAAAATCTTGCAATGGATATGTGTTTCGAATTTTTAAAGATGCGTGATTACAATACACTGTCAGAGAAGTTTAACTGTGATGAAACAGTAATGAAGCTTCATCCTGAGACTGAATAAAAAGATGATCTGAAAAGTAGATGTATTTGTAGCGTCTGCGGCTAACTGTTGGAGGCTCATGCGTGAAAAACCTCATATTGCTTGTAAACTCTTGTTCACACGTTAGCTGCATGCTAACGATAGTCCGTCTAATTTTGCTTGGACTTTCATTTCATTAGAAAAGCTCACAAGAGCCATGAAAAATGAACAATTGGCTCGTCAGTATCAGAACAATATAATTATCCATTAGTACAACTCATCTGACTCAGTGTGTGTGTCTAACAAAACAGTGTTGTTGCAGTTGGCTCAAGTATTGCAGAGTGAGTGTGGAGGAGTTGTGCATGTTATGTGTCAGTCGCACTGTATGTGATAACCATACACAGTATATGCCCAGAGCGTGATGTTGACGCATGATGTCCATCCTGAGTGCTGGAGTATAAAGGCAAGCTGTTTCGTCAGCATCACTGTCCGATGTGCAGATAATGACATCATCTGTCCAGAGGTGAAGAGGCAGTGCGGATGATTGTAAATTTTTTATTTTTTCTATCTGAAACCACTCACTCGCAACATCAACTCTCACACTCACAACTCACCAACACTACACATCACCAACATCACACACAACAGCACACACACACCACACACACACATCAGCTGATCAGATCATCCTCTAACATTAATAAACAACTGAAACACACGCAGGTGGAAAAACCACACACAGAGTTAACACAAGGCAACACATCACACAAACACAGGACCACACACAACACCCACAAGCACACAGCAGCGACAGCAGCCACCATACACACACACACACACACAACACACAACACACACACAACACGTCACACAACACCACACACACCAGATCATGAGTGTGTGAACGGATGAAGGGGTGTTAATTGCCTCGCCTTACATCATGAAGTTGCAGCAGGAGGTTATGAATTGCAACCGTTATATGGAGGGAGGAGAAGTGAGATATGTTGGCTATCTTCTCTTGTTCTCTGAAGCGATTTCCCATCTCTCATTTTCACTTCACTTTCATCGACCCCGCGTATTTCTCTCCTGCGACATCTAGCAGCTCATCTTTTTTTTTTTTTGTTTTGCCGCTTGATCTCTATTCTTTTTTCTTTTATTTCATTTGCTCCTGATGTATTTTTTTGAGTGACTCCTGTCCTTTGTGAACTGAATTTTGAGTCCTTCAAGAAAAACGCATCATTTGACACGGTAAGTGTTTATTTGTTTTGTTGTAATAAGTAATAAATAATGAATGAGGTCAGCAGAACGGTTGGTTCTGACAACCCGTAACAAAACAAGACGTGAGTAAAAGTCGGAATTAAACTTCTGCAGAAACACCACGTGCGCATCTCGCTGCTCCGACAGCAAGGGTGTTGACGGTGAAGTTGACCCTTGACCCTTTGGGATATGAATATGTCATCACTTCATTTTGAACCTCAAGACATATCAGTTAAATTGTTTTTCATAATTAGCCGTATGAATTCATGAGTTATGGCCATGTTTTTTGTGAGGTCACAGTGACCCTGACCTCTGACCTTTGATCCTACCAAAAAAAAAAAAATAGCATTACAAATTAATGCCGTCCAGATCTGAGAACAAAACTTCATGCATGTTCGCCTCCCTGCAAGCCTCTGTGTGTGTGTTGTGTGGTGTGTGGTGTGGTGTGTGGTGCACCTGTAACTATAAACAGCAGTGCACT